GGCCTCGTTTCTGGCGGAGCCAGCCAATCAGGCATCGCCACTGCCGGACACATCGCATTGGGCAGCCCCGTTGCCTGAATTGGCCAATGGGACGTCGACTGTACACAAGGCATCCAGTCGGGCGCTGCCCCCGCTCTGGTCCTCCCAAAAGGATTGTGGGAATTGGGTGCTGGAGCAAAGGATTGTGGGTCACAAAGGCTTGGCCAATGGCAGGTGCCAGGGGCAGGGTGAGCATGCCCCTCCCAGCCAGCCATCTCGCCATGCTAGCAACTTCGTGCGCCGGCTTTCCTGGGCGTGACAATGCAGAGCCACAGCAGCGGGGAGAGCAACTAGTTGAAAAGCTGATCGATAAGCTCCTGCTTATCGATAAGTTGACTGTTCGATCAGACCAGTGGTCACTGACCAGTCGATCGGGATCTACCAGTCGATCTTGGAGCCTCGGCCAGGGGATCCCGACTGGTTGGGGTGGGAAGCTCTCAAGCGCCGTCACTTCTGCTCCCCTCTGCCCCACGGTCCTGCTGCTCCTGCCCTCTGCCTTAGAGCTGCCCCCCAGAGCCTCCTGCTCGCTGTGCAGGGTGTGGGGCAGGCAAGGGGGGGCGCTGATGTCAGGGTGTCTCTCTTCCCCCCATTTCTGTCCCCTATCTCCACACACAGAGAAGGGGATGGAGGGAGCTTGGCAATGCAAATCTCTGTCACTCTCACACACTGTGTGTCTCTCTGTCACTCTCACACACTGTGTGTGTCTCTGTCACTCTCACAAACACCAACTGTCCTTCACTCTTATCTCTGTGGGGGGATGTTGTTTTTACTTCTTTTACTGCTTGTAAAGTGTGTTACTTTTGGGTTTTGACTGGTCTGTGCATTACATAATTTAAATTTCTCTCTTACGCTTAAATTTAATGTTTTGAGTAGTGAGTTCTAAAATGCCGAACCTGTTATGGCTGGAGTCATTATCCCCATGGTAATTGCTGCTTCTGGAAGTGGCTGCACATCCCTGCAGCCCCTGAGATGGAGCGACCAGGGTGAGGCCTAAGAGAAGGGGTGAGCAGGAGCAGGGCCTCAAATAAGGGGCAGGAAGGAAGCTGGGCAAGGGTATTTGGGTTTGAGGTAGATCTTACATTGGATTTAAATTGAAAAAGTGATCTTGTAGGTACATCTCTCATGTAGATGGTATCATGAATTTTCATGAGCGCAACCCACTTCTTCAGATGAATGGAGCAAGGGGTCAAGAGGTACAAATAAATAGCAGAAAAAGGGGATGGGGAGGGAAAGAAAAGGGGGGAAAAAAACTTGTGAATTAGCCTGTCTGTGTTAAATGAGGCTAATAGTGGGCTGTAAGCCCAATACTTAACTTTTAATGATACCATCTACATTTTTTGTTAGTCTCTACTGCGCTGCAGGACCATTCATTGGTTTTTTTTTAAGATTTATCTGCATTCCGTAGAAGGAGAAATTGAGACACACAGATGTGTGACTTGCCCAAGGTGACTCATCAAAACTGTGATAGGGAACCCCCTTGCAGGGTCCCAGCATCTTGCTGCCCTCTGGTGGGCAGATTGGGAAGTGCACCCCCTGAACCCTCTTCTAGTCCAGCCCCCCACCAGCTCTGCCAGTGCCCCTCACAACCGCCCTGCAGCCCCTGCCCTAGCCTCCCTCCCAACACCCACCCTACAGGAGCTGCAGCGAAGGGGCCAGTCAGGGGCCAGTGGGAAGGGGGATTTGTGGGGTACTGGATGGTCCTCTGCCCCCCACCTGGGCTTTGGGGCCAGCAGATTTCAGCCACAGTCCCAATGCAGCTGGAGTCAGAGACGTGGGAACCTGCTAATTGCTGACAGCCTGCACTCTCCCCACTGCCAGGGGCTTTCTCTTTGGGCGGGGCGAGGGGTCCTTGTGTACCCAGCCCCCGCCCTACTGCACCGGGGCCCTGGCCCAGCGCCAGTCAAGGGGCCCCTGTCAGTGTTCCCCCTAATCTTTTCCATCTATGTGTGGAATAAATTTTATGTGTACCAATGTATGTGCGGATGTGCACCACCTGTGCGGAATAAATGTGCGTACCGAAGCATGTGCGGACGTGCACCGCCTGTGCAAACAAAACTGAGCTGTGGGCGCTCTGCCAACCTGCTCGGCTGCAGCTGACTCTCCCCTGGATGGCCGCCCAAGCGCTCAGCTTACAGGGCACACCGGTCCCTGGATACCCAGAACCCCACCCCAGGGGCAGCTGGGAACTCAGCCTCGATTTCCCCTGGACCCTCGGGGCGTTCGTGGGGGCACATCGCAGACAAATGTACTCAATAAATCTCATTTATGTTGCCCTTGTTGAGCCCTTGAATCTCCGAAACTTTATTGCCCAGACAAATCCCCTGCCCCCCTGAGCCAGCCAGGCCCTGCCCTGTGGCCGGGTGGGAGCGGCCCCCTAGAGGGAGGATGCCCCGCCCCCGCCGGACAGGACTACATTTCCCAGGATGCACCTCTCCTCATGTGCCCTGCGGGCAGCAGCTTCCCTTTTTCCCTCGCCCCGAGCAGCTGCGAGCCCGGGTGCGCCCAGCACCATGGCCTCGGGGCTGCGCTACCCGGGCCGGGTGGCCATTGTC